CAAAGACGGATTGCATGACTGAGAGATTTTTATTTTGTGATTCAAAAATCTCAATGCCAATGACAATGAAATATGGAGGTTTAAGAAATATGGGGAGATAATGAACAGAATTCAAGCTCAAAGGTCATTTTACAATTCATATTGGGAGCAGGGAAACACGGACTTCTAAAAACATCAGGCGTGGAATCAGGTGCCATGTAGCAGTGTCCATCCCCTGCCAGACGGTCACACTCGCCGTGTGCTCCTTGTCAATTTGATCGAGAAAAATGGAAATATAGATACTTCAGTGTGTAAGTAATGGTCTACCATCAATCTAATATCAAAAACTTCAGTCAGCATTTGACTTAATGATAAGTTGTATTTGCTGACAAAGTCATTGATGTTTTAACAATAAAACATGCAAATGATAACTTCAAAAGACACTTTTTATATCCTTACTTCATCAACTTGTTTGCCAATTGCTTTTCTCGTTTAAGAAATCGATATATATGTTTTTTGTGTATCGAATCAACTGAGGGACATAAACCAATATTGCTACAAAAGTTAGGGAAGTTGATGATTGAAAAGTTGAAGTCATCACGTTCATCACAAAGCTTTTTTGTTGTTCACCATTAATGTACTTTGTGATGTGTCTGATTCTATGGTAATTCTATGGTAATTCTTATTTCAAACTAACTTGGATCATACAGGATGTTATTGAGTCGACATTTGTGTCAAAGTAATTACTTTTAATTGAAAACCATCGTCTATATATCTTAATGTCGAATTAAAGGCCACAGCAAGTGTTTTCTTCTTCTCATATACAAATTTCTGAAATGTCTTTAAAAATCCAGTTTGAACTACTTTTTCCTAATACAGAACTGATATATGCTGATACAGCTGAAATTTAACCCATTGAATCAGTAAATATACTAGTACATGTGTATATGTAACTTTACACGCCATTTAAACCAAAGAGAACTGTTTACACCCCATATTGTAAAAGAATGGGAAATTGAAGTCATATACTGTTCTTATATTTATATTGCAGAACTACTTTCTACAGATGTGAATTCAGGAAAGATGAATAAAAACACAAATATTTTAAATTTCGATAAAAATATGTATTCTAATTATGTCATATACATTGAATTTGCAAAATATTAGTTTTTTTTAGTTTAGTAGTGATTGACAAATTTATTAATAAATGCATACTGAATATTTATCTAAAATGTATATATATATGTAAAATCATAACATTGTTAACTAAAATTTCAACCTATCACTTTACACTAAATCCTTAAAAAGTGGTGAAAGAAATTGGACAAATAAAAAGAATCTGGAGCTTAGCAATAAAATTAGCAATAACAGAGATTTATCCCAAGGATAAAATGATAAAAGTCATTTACATCCATCAGAGAAGACCAAGCGAGTGTAAAACTCTCCCCAAGTGACAAAGCTAGAATCCAATACTGGAAGGCCGCAAAACACTAAAGACACATATCAACAATCATAACAAGTAAACTGATGACTGTTGAACAACTGCTGAACAAGTAAAAAGTGTTATAGTAGTGCATTTTTTATAGTAAATATTTCAGAAATTGTCCAGGCAAAATATATATATGTAAATGCATATATGATCAGTGTATTTTTTGGCTATATGTGTACATTTCCATAAAGTTTAAATTCTGTTTAAAGAGAACACAACTTTGATCTATAAACTTTCTATAGATATTCAAGTGCACTTATATGCAGAACATAGACTCACCAATTATAAAAGGAATTTTTATGCGAGTTAACATACAATATATTACTTAGTTATACTTCATTACTACTGTGAAATCACAAATTTTCGTGGGGGTTAATTTTCGTTGATTTCAAGGTATGAAGAGACACATGCATCCATGTCCACCAGGAAATGTAAAACTTTACATACGTAATTACTAAATAATTCTTCATCCATGACATCAAATCCCCATAAATAAAGAGTTTTTCCTCAAACTATGAAATTTTGACCCATAGGAGAATACATGATTTTACAGTACATTATCAATTTCCAGGTCCTGTTAAAAAAAGATCACTCTAATAAAACTGTTGAATATTAGCAAAGACATTGTAAATCTTATAAACACCATCCTAGCCATTCTGGCATCAAACCTGTCTACAAACTTTGTTTTGAGAGCATTTCAGTACAGTACAATTGGCTGACAGATCAAGTGCCATTGGGTTTATGTATGTCAATGTTATAAAAGCATGATTTATGATAACAAAATTAAGTTGTCTTCTTACATAAAAACTTTAAGAGTTGTGGAGGCAAGTTCATGTTTCTTTACTTTTATGTACTAAGAAAAAAGTGTTATTCACCTCAAAGAACCATTCAGTTAGGCGAAAAATGAGCATAAACAAGACATTACTCAAAGACTGAAACAACCTACTGGATTTAAGAGATGTATTTTCTTAAGTCCCTGAACCAATAACAGTAGCTTTGTATCTTACATTTTGTTAGTTTTGAGTTTTCTCATAAAACACACACATTTGGTCCAAAGTTTCTCATATTTGTTTAGAAAATTGAAGAAGGAATGTTTTAATATCCCTTAATCTATGACAACATGTTTGTATATTACAATATGTTACCTTGATAAATACTGTTTATTGTTAGACACTCACTCTTTCCATCAAATGTCTTCATTACTTAAAGAAAAGTGCTGATGAAATAAACCTAAATTCCACAGCTAAAATTGTACTCTTTCCATAATTTGTTTTCAGGAAAGACTAGTGTCTAAGCCATGATACCCATGGGTAAAGTTACTGATCTTTTCTGTGTGAAAGATTTTCAACATTCTTTTTCAAAACAACTGAATGGTTATTTTCACTCTCTTAAGACACTTAAATTGTGCTTATTGCACAATTAAAATCTTGCAGTCTTGAATGCTATGCTTTTGGCTTGAGCTGTTATTGATTTTACATTGTCATTTAATGTGTCATTGAGTGATTTCTAATGTAAGATGCTGGACATATAACTAACTCCAAATGCTTATTTTTGATAAGTCATTTTAAGTATTTCCATATTAATTGCTTTCTACACTTTAAATTGCTAACACATACATGTACTTTTATATAACATATTGCACAATGCATGTATTATCTTTGTCATTGCTTTAGCATTTAGATTACATTTATTCATTCTATATAAAGTTGGTTTCTGGGGTTTTAAGTTGAAGAGATTCATAGGATTTCATGTAGGAATACCAACACTACTCAATTTAAACACCAGTAAATCCCTAAAGTAAAGTGATGCATGTACAGTGCAAGATCATGAGTTTGTAAAGATCATGGACATATGTGTAATAAAAATTATCAGTTTATATTGCTGAATAAGTTTTTATGCATCAAAAGATAAAAAGATAATTAGAAAGCAACATTCTAAAATCAAAAACCCATTGACATTTCACATGTGTTCAAAACCTGTATTGATTTTTACCACAAGCACAGACCACAAAGAAAAGGTCAAGAATTCAACAATTTATCAAATTTTCTCATCAAAGGACCTAATGATGCAATTAACTTTATTAAGTCATATTATCGACCCCCTAAATCAAACTTTGATAGAAAAATCAATTAATTTGTTTCTTACTAGGAGGAATTTTCAGACTTTAATAGGCATGTCAACTAAGATGTCAATAGTTTGAAAATGATGTTAACACCAACTTTACATGATTTTGAGCAAAGACGCAAAATTTCATGTCAATTGTTTGATTATAAGGAATACTATGTTCAGATCTGTCCAGACCTCATCCTTTGAAGACATGTTTGACATGTTTGATTGGAAAATATCTTGTGCAGTATGAATTCTATAATAAAATTTAACTTATCTTTTTTCAAAACACCATGTTCTAGCTACATATATTTTCTATATGCTTATCACTCTTTTTAGACACTTACGTTAAATAATTATAATGTTTAATGCAGTTTTAATTAATTTTATTATGTTCTTTTGGTCATTTTTAGTGAATGGAGCTTCTAGCCACATTACTTATTATATACATGTAATAGACTGTACTAAGCTAGCAATGCTAAATATACTACAATCATTTCCATAAATCTTCATGTACCATGGCGTTCTGTTCAAATCTGCTACATTGCAAAATAAATATACTATTTTGCATGTTGCAGATTATAACTAAAGTTTGTTTTAGCATTGAGATAAAAATAATGGTATGATTTGTAACAATAAAAACATTCATCAATGCTTTTTAAGTAAACAAAAGCTATACAACGTTCAATAATTTCATTCAAACATAATTCTTTTCCTTAGCAATGACTCCATTTCTTTGGTTTTAAGATGAACTGATGAAAAGAATCATACACCGACTCAATGTTATTTAAACATCCGGCTAAGGCTCAAAATAAAATAAGTCAAAGCAATATGAAAGATCATGAGATAGTGTTAAGAACTTAATTAGATCTATGCAATATGGAAATTACCAGCCTACGTACATTAATAAGCAAGTAATTTACAAAACAAAAGACATGAAAATAAGAATGCAAAAAAATTGGAATAAAAAGCCAACTGATTTCAACATTGATTCAAAAGCTTTATTGATTTTTGAGGGCACTCACAGGGAAACCACAGAAAGGTCAACAAAAATATTTTTCTCTTCTTTGATTTTTCATCAAAGAGTTATAATGTTTATTATAGTAGTCTTAATCTGCCTTTAACTTAAAAGCAAATGGAAAAAATCTATTATTTCACTCATAATGAGGGGAGTACATTGAGACTTGAAATCATTGAAGATTGCAAGTCAATGATGACCTCATTAGTTCGATAATGATGTAAACTCTGAAAGAATTAAGTGATTAGACTATTTTTCATTCTAATCATAACATTTATTTGCATTTCAGGTATCAACAGACTTAAAGTTAAATACAAAGCTTATCACAGATGTAGAACCCCCTTTGTATTTTGCAAACACTAGTAGAAATAGCAAAGGCTTGAATCTGAGAAACATAATTTTGCTTACCATGGGAATGATTGGTAAATCTGTTTTCTCTGGGTATGTAGAATGAAGGAATGGTAAAAATATTTCATCGTACTCAAACAGATAGATGTAGAGCATTGTGGTCCTTGGAAAATCTTTGATCCCATACACAAGGAAGAGGGAGCGACCAGGATTCAGGGCCTGTCAGAATTTACATGATATTATAAATCAAGGAAGGTGAGATGAATCTTCAAGAAAAATAACTGCAAATATTTACATTGCAATAAAAAAGCAACTGGGATCATAACACTAGAAGACTTTGGCTATGTGGATTGAAAAAGACAAGAACAACATAGTCTGCTTAAGTTAATTCATAAAGGAACAAAACATTAACAATCATAACTTTGATATTCTTATGTTGGTACATAAAGTTCAAGGAAGCAAAAGAGAGTTTACATAAACTTATCTTGGATTAAGCATTTGCTTAACTTAGTTTTTATGATTTAAGCACTTAAAAAATCAGCATCATAAGCTAAGAGATTTACATGTTCAACAAGAGCACCACCCAGAACGAATCAGCCACTACACAGCTGATGAGGAATGTAAATTTGCACATTACATAACAGAGCATAATCACCATATTGTATCGTCAACATGAAAACAGGGGGAAAAAACTCAATTATCTTGTAATGTTCAGTCAATGATGTTCATATTCTAGGTTGAATTATGTTCTAAAACTTTTTTTAACTTCTAGCAACAGACATAAAAATCTTGAGATCAAAAAGGCATTATTTCCCTTGAGATAATAAGTCTGATGGAATTTTCAATTATATGATATGGAGAAAAAAATCTTGGAATTTCATTTTGATTAACATGCAGGGGTGTTTCCTCAATGCAATCGTAAGCAATTCAATCAAATCATATTTCTGTCAAAACTTATAAAAATCTATCTTTAATCATTAACAAGAGGCCTATGGGCCTTATAGGTCACCTGAGCTAATGCAACAACTTTCCAATGATTGAATTTCATCCATGGCTTAAGCCAGATGCTATAGCATTTACAATTTTGATCATCATAACTATACACTTAGCAGTTGCTTAGTTTGGTTACTTAATACCCATAGGCAGGGTAGGGGAATAAAAATGCATTTCAACAAATCAGTTATATTCAGCAACAATCAGTAGTGCCACTTCCACACATGAACCCTTGACTCTAAGGCCTAGATCCACACATTGCACAATTTTTGAAAAGGCATCCTTGCTTTTCAGAAGTATTTGATTAATACCAAGGAGCAGATTTCAAACAATTCATTATTTTTCAGTATATAAGTACAGACCCCTCCCCCTCTATGGTACTACTGACCCTGGGGGCCTTGAAATTCACAATTCTGGAAGATAAGGGCCCTTGCTCATAACTATATAGGTAGTTCATATGCTTAATACCCAGGAGCAGAGAAGAAAATATTCAAAGATTTAATGTTTTTTCACTATATAATCAATAGAGCCCCGCCCTAACACCAGAATCCCTGACCCTGGGGCCATAAAATTAACAATTTTGGTAGTGGCATTCTTGTTCATCATAACTATGTACTTATTTAGTTTATTTAATACTTTGGAGCAGAGAAGTAGATTTTCAAAGAATTCATGTATTTTCACTATATAATCAATAGAGCTCCGCCGTAACACCAGAACCCCCGACCCTGGGGCCATAAAATTCACAATTTTAGTAGAGGCACTCTTGTTCATCATATCTATGTACTTAGTAAGTTTATTTAATACCTAGGAGCAGAGTAGAAGATTTTCAAAGGATTTGTGTATTTTCACTATATAATCAATAGAGCCCCGCCCTAACACCAGAACCCCTGACCCTGGGGCCATAAAATTAACAATTTTGGTAGAGGCACTCTTGCTCATCATAACTATGTACTTAGTAAGTTTATTTAATACCTAGGAGCAGAGAAGAAGATTTTCAAAGAAATAATGCATTTTCACTATATAATCAATAGAGCCCCGCCCTAACACCAGAACCCCTGACCCTGGGGCCATAAAATTAACAATTTTGGTAGAGGCACTCTTGCTCATCATAACTATGTACTAAGTTAGTTTATATAATACCCAGGAGCAGAGAAGAAGATTTTCAAAGAAATAATGCATTTTCACTACATAATCAATAGAGCCCCGCCCTAACACCAGAACCCCTGACCCTGGGGCCATAAAATTAACAATTTTGGTAGAGGCACTCTTGCTCATCATAACTATGCACTTAGTTAATTTATTTAATACCTTGGAGCAGAGAAGAAGATTTTCAAAGATTTCATGTATTTTCACTATATAATCAATAGAGCCCCGCCCTAACACCAGAACCCCTGACCCTGGGGCCATAAAATTCACAATTTTGGTAGAGGCACTCTTGCTCATCATAACTATGTACTTAGTTAGTTTATTTAATACCCAGGAGCAGAGAAAAAGATTTTCAAAGAAACAATGCATTTTCACTATATACTTATTTAGCCCCACCCTAGCACAAGAACCCCTGACCCCAGGGCCATGAATTTCACAATTTTGGTAGAGGACTCAATGCTGATTACAATCATGTAAACAGTTTGACTGCTTGATGTCCAGGAGTAAAGAAGAAGATTTTTAAAGATTGCATTAATTTAAGTGGTTTTGGCCCCACCCCCCAGGCCCCAGGGGGGCAGGGATCATGAAATTCACAATTTTTGTTCCCCTTCACCCATAGATGCTTTGTGCCAAATTTGGTTGAAATTGGTTCAGTGGTTGCAGAGAAGAAGCTGAAAATGTTCAAAAGTTTACGACCGATTGACGACGAACGACGACGGACGAAAACAGATAGCAATAGGTCACCTGAGTGACTCAGGTGACCTAAAAATATAACTATAGCTTTTATAACATATGGAAAATTGTTTGAAACATTGGCATTATTATTAATGAGTTGGTTTTTTTTCTATGACTGGCAATAATTTAAAGATTTCTTATAAGTATGCTGCATATACATCTCTCCCAGCAATATTAAACCATCTAATAATTGCACAGGTCTATTGAAACTCAAATTTCTTTATTTATATGAACAGAATATTGGAAAAATGTATACAAATGCAAATTTAATCTGCCATTTATTTTGAAATATTTTGTGATATTGACTATCTGTGGTCAGGTTACACAAGTAATTTATATACACATACAGAAATTGATGGGATGTCTAATTTGATAGAAAAGAATTTAATTCCACAACATATAAATCAGATTTATTTATTTATTGAAAGACATTTTATGTCCTCCCATGAATACGGTGGGAGAGTATAGTGCTTGTCATATCTGTGTAATCCATCCCTCCCTCAGTCACACTCTACATATAAAGCTCACTTTTACAGAAATATTCATTAAAACATATTTTATCACCTCATTTTTGCTGATACATATTGGTGAAACTATTAAACTGCATCAAATATCTTTAATCTTGTCTTTCCATTTGCAATTTACCTCATTTTCTTCAATTTGCATCTAATCAAGATATTTTTTTTAATCTTATTTATATAATAAAGTGCCCCGCCACAGCATGATGCTTTGTGCCAAATTTGGTTGAATAAATTGGTATTCAGAGTGCAAGAAAATCAGTTTTGATTACCAAGAAGATTACAAGATTGACAATGATTTCAATGATTAATTTCCATTCCTTATTATATTTATTGTACATACTTGTCTAAGAGTGTAGGCAATAATTGAAAGAAATAATACATCATATAATTCTAAACTGGCTGAGTGAAATATCCATCTGCTGATTTTTTATTGCAATTTTATGATTGATTAAAAATGCTATAGCTTTTAAAAACATAACAGAAATTATGGAAAAATTTTATAACATGGCATTGCAATTTGTTAAATATATAAAAAATTGAAATGTTTTTTTTCAATGTAAATATGTACAATTAGTTTTTATTATATCAGATATTAATTTAATTTTAATCATATACTGTATTTTATACATCTTTTTTTAATTACATTACACCAAATAACTAATTGCAAGATCTTTATCTGAAATAGCCATCTAGAACTCTTAATTAACACAATTTCTTTCTTTATATGAACAGAATATTGCATGGTCAAATGTCTTCCAGTTAACTCTTGACAAAAACTTTAATTTCTCTCTATTTATTTTCTGATCAATATTTTGTGATAATGCTTGTTAATTATACCCATGGTCAAACTGCATTCAATAACATTTATATACAGATTGCTGTAAAGTATATGATGAAAAAATAAGTTTTTTTTACTTGATTTTACATTTTTTAACAAATACAACTTTAATTTTACATTTTTTACATTATAAATTAAAAATTCAAAAGATTTAGTTTTTTAAAAAATTTCATTAAATTAAAGGTCACAGTGACCTTGAAATAGGTGGGAGAGTACACCTTGTCCCAAGATGTATACATTTGTCAAGTTTGATAGTTCTAGGTCAATAGTTTACATATAATGAGCTCACTTTTACAGATATTTGGCCATAGCATCTTAATTAAAGGTCAGAGCGACCTCTTTTTGTGATACACACCGTCTACCCAAGAAACTATTTGACAAAGTTTGATAGTCCTAGGCCTATTATTTGAAGTTATGAGCCGGACATTTTCTTCAATTTGCATCGGAATGAAGCCTATTTTTTAATCTTATTTATATAAAAATTAAACTGATACAGATTGGTGAGAACTATTCAACTGTCACAGTTTTCTGACCTTAGCATTCCTTATGACCTTGACCTAACTAATCTGTTTTTACCTAAATTGAAACAAAGAAGCAATTAATGTACCCTAAACTTTTCATATTGCATTATTTAGGTACTCTTGCAGGGCATTCATGTATTATTGGCAGGTGTTTAGTACTATCTAAAAAAAAATCTATTAATTAACAATGGCAGACTTTTTAAAACTATAAACTATAATTTGAAAATCTATTAATGATCAACTTTCACCTTGTACTCCCAAAGAGAAGCAGGAAGCTTCATATTAAAATCCTTCAACTGCTGAATTGCAGTGGTTATGGCTTTGATATGTAGATCATTGGTTACATTCAAACTTGACTGCAGACTTGCATGGTCCACAGCTAGCAGGAGTCTTCCATCTAAAACAAGTGAAATGTTTCATATCATTTCAATTTTATTCTGGCAATTTTACAAAATGTTGTATTAGGAGAAGACTATCAAACTTTTTGAACTTGCATCTGATCCTTTTGACTCTGTGCCAATAAAATATGTTCAATTCATTTCAATTTTATTCCAAAAAATTCATTTAGACATCAAACATAGTCTGTTTTGGTCTTCCCTGCTTGTGCTCTTTGCCTTTGAAAGATTAATTTAATAAAGTGTATCATACTTGCTGGCAGACCATTTAGAAGAGATAATATATCAAACACGTATAAACATTGCAGTATTTGATATACTAAAACTAAGTGTTTATCAACAGGCAATACATGTATTACTTGGTACAAATCCAACCACTTTGGTTTGATGGTTAACATTATTATATAAACATTAACACTATTGATATAATTTTGGCAGCCTTTTAATTAAATGCTGTATCTTTGAAATAATTCTAGAATCTCTAATACAACAGCAGCATCTCTAATGTATCTATTTGAGAGAACTTTGACCTCATGTTGTGTAGATAAGGCTCAATATTATTGCAAACATGGACCTTATAAGGATATTTTTTTCTTGATATTAAGGTTCATAAACCCTCTGCTCACTCAAATAATATGTATCTTTTAAAATGCTTTTGATTTTTTAAAAGAAATATATTTCATAAGTCAATTAAAACAATTACCCAGGAATATCTTAGCTTCTGGGGCTAAAATGGCCGAAAAAACATTTAAACTTCTAATCATAGATTTTTAAAGGAATGATATGTTATAAAGAGTTATCTCTCTTCTCTGAGTATCAATGAACCTTAATTTAATGATATCTTCTACTAATGTTTATGAGGAAGAGGTCACATGTACTTTATGATTGAGTACACTTCTCAAGCAATTACGGTAACCTAGTAATGCATATGTCTTAAGCAGCAATCCAAATCCATCTTAACACCAATAAGAGATTGACAATTATAGGAAATCATCCACCTGTCTGCTGATAGTGGAAGAAATAGTTCCATGAAAGATTGAAGCTGGTTTCTGTCTGTCTTCATCTAGTAAGAAAACAACTCAACAAAGCCACTTAAAGAGATGAGGGATATGAAAAAGGGCTTAGAATTCAATTATTGCTCAGTAATGAAATCAATTTCTGACAAAATGTCACAGTTCTGTCTGTGTCTCCAGGAAAATGTCTATACAGATGGAATTATCTTTTCTATGCTGGCTTTAAAGAAGTGTAAGCTAATATTTCTATAACAAATTAATTATTTGTCAAAAAGCTTGAAATTTCTTCTGATTTTTTTTTATATATATAAAGCTTCATAAAAAGGTCAAGAATAGCAGATATGTCTAAAATTATAAACAAATTAATACATGTACATGTAATGCATTAATTTAAATAGTGTTGAAGTATTAATTAATGCATGGGATATTGTATATTTGAGTTAACTGTTCACATAAACTAAGTACATGTACAATACATGTGTATTTCAGTTTTATTAGTTTACACCTTCTTACAATGGTTTTATTGTTAAATAAAATTTTAAGATTCAATAAAAAGATTTTTTATGCCCCAAAAATCAAAGATTGGGGTATATACAAGCTTTTGTCCTGTCCATCCATATGTCTGTTTATGCACAAAAACTTTAACCTTGCACATAAGTTTTAAGAGGATGGAGCTATGACTTTCATATATTCCAACAGAACCATTCATAAGGTATCATTTAAATTGACCTTGGAATTTGACTCACTTTAACAAAAAATGTCCAAACTTAAACCTTGACCATAACTATATTGAATAGTTGGGACTACAGGACTTTCATACTTCACTGTGACAAAATCATTCATTAGCTATAAATATTTTTGACCTTGACCTCTGCAGAGTTTGACCCACTTTCTAAAAACTTAAACATTGGCCATAACTTTTAAACAGCTGGAGCCAGGGCTTTCTTATTTCACATGTGTATTCCTTGTGACAAGACATTCTTAATACCAACAATTTTGATCTTTGAGCATGTTGAGTGTGACTTGGATTTGCGAAACTTCAACTCTCACCACAAGCTGCCATATGGGGGCATCAATCCTTTATAAATACATCTTGTTCTTTTTTAAAAAAAATTAATTACATTTGTTAAAAGGCCAGCCTTTCACTAAAGAGAGCAGGGGGAAAATGATTGAAAGTTTTACCAAACAGAGCAAGCATTAAAATGAAAAATATCCACTAAGACCAATTTAAAACACCCACAAAAAACATGCATATTTAAAAGAGCATATAAAACACTAAAAATTGATCAGGAAATACTTCATTGTAAAATGATATCCAGCAACCAAAGTTTAATTTTTCATGTACATTTTTCAATGCCATGCTCTTTTCTATTCTTTGGAAAACAATAAAGCAGCATGCCATATGCCGGGTGGTACTGGATTCAATCATTGACAAGAAAAAGAAGACTGAAGACAATTAATATTTAAAAACAAAATCTCATGCACTGTGATTGCTTGTCAGCAGTCCATTATGAAAGGGGACACCACCCTTAAAACATCTCCACAGAAATATATAAATATTTAATTATATATTTAGAGTTCCCTGATGGAACTTAGCAATTACAATATGATATATGCAGTAAAAAGTATAAATTAAGAACACCTTTTCTTTTAAAAATGAAGTTAGACAGTAATTTTTTTTTCTAGATTATGCTGCAAAATCACAATGATATATGGAAGAAAAAAAATGACTGTCAGATAAGTCACTCTGGTCAAAACTTTGGTATCTAGAACAACAATACCTTGACTACATTGGATATATATATAAGAGACACTTTGAAGTCTCAGCTAATTTTTTTCTGTACATATTTCATTTTAAATATTTTGAAGGGTTTTTATTCTCAGTCCTTATGAAGTTCAGGACAAAAACGTCTGAATGTTTTAAAATTGCAAGTTTGAAATATAACAGAAATTCCTACCTATTCCATTTAGTTTAGCTGTTTCCCGATATCCTTCTGTCCATGATCCAAGGTCAGATAACCACTGCACGACATCCTCTGTACCCCACCTAGCTGGGGGTTTGTGAATAAGCAGGTCAGAGCCTACACTTTTCCAGTACATCCCAAGGTAGACAAGCTGTAAAGGTTAGCATATTAGAGAAATGTGAAATTGATTTGAACTGTAAGATGCTAGAATTAACAGAAAATGAAATATATAGGTTAGAGAAAATCAGTGTATCAAATTTCTCTCTCAGTTGCCCTTATACAACAATATTCACATTTCCAATGTCTTTGTCCGAGATAAAATTACAAATAGTTAATGTATATATATATATAATAGGCACAGTTAAAAATAACATGCAGGGTGTGACAAATAGCTAGACAGAAGCAAGGCTTGTAGCACGTAGATTGGCAGAATCAAAAGCATGTAAATATAAGGAATAACTGTCAGATTTTTTGATTTCATGAAGATGATCAATCGATTGGCTTGTGTGATAATTTTATGTATAAAAGCCTTCAGACATCATGAAATCAAAAATAAGACAGTTATTCCTTAACTGAATACATGTACTTTCAACTGAAGAAAGCATTTGTGATCAACAATTTAATTAATACCATGTGGTAAAAAGTACTCATACAGTAAATTTATCATACTCTAATGTTATATTATAACAGCTGTGAATTCTTGTTAAATGAAATGTGGAAATAACAAACAATATTCAAGTTCAAAGTCCATTTAAATCATACAAATCATGAGCAGAGCAAGCATGGAGCACAAAAAAAAAACAGCGACTGGATCAGGTGCCATGGAGGAACAAGCATCCCCTGTTGACCAGTCACACCTGCTGTGTGCTCCTTGTCATGATCAGGTAAATGGATAAATCCTTGTCAGAAAAATTTATAAATACATGGAGCAGAACTTACCAATATCACTCCACCCATGACCAATATCCCTGAGCAGAAATCTCGAGCTTGCACATTATTATTTCCTTGACCAATGCGACGAGGCACTGCTGCTTGTCTGTTTTCTTCAAAAGTTTTTATCAAAGTGTCATTGTCTGGAGTGTACACCTCAATTTCCCTTTCTCTTAATTTGAGAGAATAGGACTTTTCAATGAGGTTTCTACAATGAACAAAAATATATATACAGTGTACGACAGAAATTCCAGATTTAGTCAATACATATACATTTGTAGATCTATTAAAAAAATGAAAGATATTAATTAATGAACAATTAATTTCTAACATCTGACCAAATGAATTCTGTCTTCAAAATTTGCAGGAGTATATGTACATTAACCTAAGATTTTTTCTTTGCATCAAATTCAAGATGAAGCATGTCTTTATTTTAAGTTTTGAGTGTCCACATTCATTTTCTCACAACATTTTTAACTGAATTACACATTAAAAAAATGGACTTAAATTAATACAGCAAATGTAATTAACAAGTTTTTTATAGACTGAGTATGTGTGTTCATTTCCCTCTCAAGTAAGCTTTTACGTTATATTTTATGTGGTTTTGGAAATCTGAATATTTTTTTTCTAACATTAAGTTTCTTGTTCACACAGTATATGTTTTTATGTAGACTAGTCATATTTAAAATTGAAACATGTTAAGCACTGAACATGTTTATGACTTCTTTCAATGTGTATCTTAACCCTTTTATCCTCTTAGTTGCAGATGTCAGTCAAATATAATATACATTTCATAAAAAATTGTAAATATGAGGGTCATCGCCAAAATTATGTAGCCAAGCTTAGAACCCAGTGACATAAATTAATGAAACTTTGAAAACAAGACTAGTAACCTGGCTCCATCAACTGCATTTGGTTTTTAAAAAAGAAACAAAAGAAAGATAACCTGTAATTTTGGTTCCAAAACAATAAACTCATATGAAATATCAAATTCTTCAATGAAAAGGATGCAAGGCAAAAGGTATGATAGTTTAATGGATTCATCATTTGACCTTATCAGACATAAATGTATTCTTATCACAAATATACCTTCTTTAGAAAGTCAAAAACTGGAAAATAAAAAATTAATTGGTGTATATTTCATTTTTCAAAAAGCTATGAAGTTTTGTATGGAATATAGTCAAATTGTGCTGAAGTTTTTCAGTCATACACTCAGTATGTCCAAGATATGCATATATATAGTTACCATCCAGTATATTTGAAATTAAACATTATAGGGCTGGGCAAAAATATTGATATTTTGGTATATTGCAATACAGTGACAAAAAATATCATATTACAATACATTTTCGTAATATTGATATATTGGCAAAATGCTTAGAAGAATTTTATCATCAAATATAAAAATAAATGTAAGAAAGGTTTGTTATGAAGCCAAATAGTACAACAGAAGCTCTTTTATGGATATATTTTAGAGCATAACTTTAATAAAATCAACAGGATTATTTTTCTTTTGGTTACTATTCATAGTTTTGTGATATCTGCATGTAAATTAAAGTTAATATAATAAGGAAATGCAATTAAAAATTTCATTGAAAATATTGCAATACATATCGCAATACAGTTAAAAATATCGCAATATATCGCAATACAAAATCTCTGGCCAATACCCAGCCCTATTAAACATTAATGTATCTGAAGTTTCTCCAATGGATCCCCCACACTAATATAGAATTTCTCATCCATTGATAATACTAATAAAGAAATTAAAAACTTTCATTACCTTTAAAAATTATAAAAGTTTGAACAAATATAAAATAAGTAAATGATAAAAACCCCTTGTCATGCAACTCAAGATCAAAGTACATGTAGTAGGGACATGTTTGTGAGTACAGTGCCTTGCTGTAGTTTCAATATGTGTAAATTTTCATTTAGATGCTGCCCAATCCTAGCATCCACTTTTTTCCTTATCTTTATATAAATAAATGCAGGAGGTTCCCCCACATCCCCTTAAAATCAAGGTCAAAACATGATATATAAACAAAATACTCTTGACTTTTTTCAAAATCTGCATTGATCAAAAAATCAGGGAGTAAATACACTTTGGGGTAAAAAATTATCTGGAACTCTGCAATATGCCCTCCCTTCTTCGAAAGGGGGCATAAAAAAGGTTTCAACTAAAATCCAATAGTAATTACTTGATTGTTATGTTGACACTGGGACTTCCCATGTAGGGCTGCTGACATAAGGGACATGTTCTCTTTTTGGATTGAGTGAACCACTGCGCTAGACAGAGGCGACAGAAGCTGTGGCCACAGGTAAGGGTAGTTGGCTGGACAAGCAGGTCAGAACAGCAGCCACAGATAAATTCTGATTCCACAGATCCCTGACGGTGGAAGTAATTATTGGATCTATCTGAATGATCCGAATGATACTCATCAGAATCATCATCTGCCATGATATTTCTAGATAAAAAAGAGAAAAGTTATATTCTTTAAAATACTGTAATGTCATCAAAATCAATTTGCATATTGTGACAGAATATCATTTTGAAAACCATTATTTTTTTTATTGCAAAATACAACATTTTGTGGCCAAAAGACCAAACAGCGCAACATGGTGAATACCATATTTTGAGTGTGACATGTGCTTATATAACTTTTTGTGAGCCTGAAATTTACACTTTTATAAGTACAGGTTTTGCCTTCGCTGACAAAATGTTTTGTTTTTCGATGACATTGTCCTTTTCCAGACACTGCATCATTTTGGCGATTTTAAGCTTAATGCATCGAAAGTGTTTGTGATATTTGCATTTAATGGTTGTTTTTTAAAAAGTTAAATTGTTCAAAATTATTAAATTAAATGTCAATTATTAGGGTTTTTGTCATCTAACATACTATTACTTCTGTAGATTTTTTTCAGGTCATCTAAGAAATAAATTGGAAAAAATTAATAAAAATATGCAAATCAAAAAAGAGTCATTTATATTTCAATTATTTTTACCTAAAAGGTTTTTCGTAGCTATTAATATATTTTCAATAATCGCTATGTTTTATGGTTTAAGTTCAATTTCAAAGATCCAAATGAAATAATTGTAAATATGCTGCCGAAATTAAGTTTAAATCGCCAAAATATTTTTACCTACTTTTTTGTATTATCTGCATAATTAACTATGTCCATAAATTTTATGGAAAAATGAGTATTTATTTCGTGATTATCAAAAACCCGGTTTTCGCAACGTGGTGAATACCACTATTTTTTTGATACAGTCACACTGATGATGAATACAACAAAATTTTGGTAAAAAAATGATTACTTTCTGAATTGGCAATTTTACATTAGTTTCTATGCAAAATTGATAATTTACAAAGTAACCATTTTTTGGCCAAATTTTTGTCGTATCCATCATTAGTGTGACTGTATCATGAAAATTGAAGCTCACTATGTTGCGCCGTTCCTGCGTTTGGCCACAAAATGCAAGTACAGCAGAAAGTAGGTAAAAACAGCTACTTCGGGTAGGTTTAAATACCTACGTAGCTATTAATAGCTACGTAGGTAGAAATAGTCTTTGGACTGGACCTGTTCTGACAGAAATTCTGTGGCGGGTAAAGATCTCTTTTTTATTTAAATAATAAATTACTTACTTTTATGCAAATTCAACTTGCATAATTAAAGTTTTTTCAAACTTTATAAAATGTTGAGAAACATTCTTACCAAGTATAAATGCAATGTAAAACAACAAACGCCGAGAAAACTTTTAAAACTATGCTGAAAACATCCTGCTCTCAACTATGCCGATTTTTGTTTGTTTACTTTCACTTTGATATTATTGCTTATAGCATTAACAATAATTTTTTGTATTTTTTATGTTAAAAAAGAATTTCAAAAAATGGATGACATGAAAATAATTTTCAATATCGATGTATTTCTTGGATGATTTGTGAATGAGTTGTTTGTTTAGTTAGGCAGATAATAAAAAGTTTTTCCTAGTTTAAATGGCATAAGGGGCCTTTATATTTGCCGCACTTTCCTCTGTTCAGTGACGATGGAAGTGACAAGAAAGAGTAAGTGAAAACATGATATCATCGTAAATACTGTAGCAATTAAATAAGCAAAATATCATTGGGATAAAATGTGCTTATTGTAGTCATTATAATTATTATAGTTAATTTGCTCTTTTTAGATTTTCAATCGGTTCTCCCTCAAGTCGAGAAGGCCATTGCTGAAGCTGACTTTATTTGTGTTGACACGGAATTTTCAGGTAAAAAAAACAACAAAAACAAACGAATAGATCTTTCGTGTTTATAATTGGATGAGTAAAGATGTAAATGAATGAAAGTATTTCAAAGTGTTTTATTTTATTCAGTGGAAAGACTTGTTATACAATGAGATTTGATTATATCTGTATATTTGAGTGTCATCATCATGATTGGTTCATCTTGGTTATGACTTTTTAAAGCAGAATAACTCTCTATTTAAATGTTAAATTTTCATTTACCCAACATAAACCTATGCATATACATACACCTTAGAACCTTTTTTTGTCCAGAAATTCATGAACATGCATGATGTACCGATTTCAAGTAAAATACTATTATTTTAGGCCTTCATGCATCCAGCTCCTTTCATATATCACCCCTTGACACACCGGAAGAGAGATACCAGAAACTAAGAAAGGTTTGAAATCCACTTGCTACAGCTTCAATGAGCTTTAATTCTAGTCATTCTGGGGTTAAAATTACCTTATATAATTATATATTACAATTGTATCATTAATGTAAGCTTTGACACACAAAATCATATGCTGGATGAAAATGAAAAAAAATGAAGTAAGCATTTAGCATTTTTTTTTATTTGAATTTATAACAAAGTGTTTCTTTTGCATCATGTGATAGAAAAGAAGTTCTTTTTTTTTTAGGGATCAAGTGATTTTTTGGTGTTTCAAGTGGGAGTATGTACCTTTTGTTATGATGAAGAAAACAGCAAGTAAGATTGATGTGCATTGTGCATAAAGGTAGTAAAAATAAGTTTTTTATAATTTGCATGTGTAACACACCTACCATTTAATTTTCTGCTGTTTTTGCAAAAATTCTCTGGCAAGGTAATAATAGAAAAGGTTTTGGTTTCAATATTTTTTATGTAACATGATTTATTCACATTGAAGAATTTGTTTGGAAAGGTGATGGTGTACATCTTCATATTGTTTTCTAGGTATGAAACAAGACCATTTAATTTTTATGTTTTCCCAAGACCTCACTCCAGGGCAGCCCCAGATTGTAGATTTTTGTGCCAGGTAATCCACTGTATCATTAAAACATAAGCAAGACCAATTTTTTTATTCGAAACCTTTCATAAAAGTAAAGCTTTATGCTTATTTTAAAGTCAAATTCAAAAGTAAATATTGTTTTTTAAAAAACTATCTAAATAATATTCTTTAAACAGAGTTCAAGCATTGACTTTCTTGCGTCACAAGACTTTGACTTCAACAAGACATTCAAGGAAGGTATCTATATCAGTATTCTTAAATTGCATCTTTATTTGTGTTTTATGATTCTGGAGTCTCAATCATCAAATTTAAATATAAATTTGATAATTTAGTTTCTCAGAGCAGTGAATTTTATGACTAAGTCTTTAAGAAAAAATTGAATGTTGACAATGATAAATTCATGTCAATTTCAGGTATACCTTATTTAACTTCAACACAAGAGAGTCAGTTGAGAGATTCTTTGGAGGAAAGAAACAAACAGTACAATCACTTTTCCTCCCCCGCCTTTGTCACACCAGACAGTGGGGCAGAAGCTGTGACAACAAAGGGCCCCATTAACATTCCCGAAGAACACAAAGATTTCATAGATGGCATTTGGTTTGTTTCAAATTATATATATTGACTTGAAATGTTATGCAGTTCTTGTTCCACTCTCATACAGACCTAAATATTTCCATTTATATCAAAAAATGTTGTTAATTCACTGGACATTTTAAAGTATCATTTTAAAATTAATGTAAGTTTTGACTCCTGGATATTATTCAGAGCATTTTATTACTATGCATAAATCCATGTAGTGAGTGCTAAACACCTCTCTCTCTCTCTCTCTCTCTCTCTCTCTCTCCTAAGGATAAATGAATCAGTCTTTTATTATTTGATAAGCTAGGATTTTATGATGTTTTAAAAAACTTTTACAGCAATACTGTTCAGGAATTTTTAGACAAAGAAGGGGAAGAAACTCTGCCTCTACCACCCTGTAATGGATTTATTAGAAAACTTATTTACCAGACTGTCAGGCAAAGGTACTTCATATATGTTGTCAACTGAATTCTGTTGCAAAGTCCTGCCTTTACAATCAATTTGTAAGTAATATGTATGAACTCCATTCTAGGTTCTTCATCATGCAATCCATCCTCATGGTTTTGCATGGTAATTTTTTCCCACCATTCAAGTTCTTTATAACCGCATCCATATGCTTTGGCGTAGTAAATGTTTTCCATTATTGATAGGTTGTTCTTTGTTAAGGTTTCAGTCTGGGGTTCACTTGGCTGCTAAAACAGATGAAAAGAAACAGCGGTACATAATGGTCACTAGAATCAAAACAGAGGATGACATGAAGAAAAAGGAGGAAGAAAAACAAGCAGCAGAACTGGTTATTATCTCAAGCATTTTTTCAAGTGTTTGAAATATTAATTTTCTGTATTTTTAATTATGATGTTGTACTCAGAAAAACTTTGCGATGATGTAGTCAAGATAAGGGGAGAAAATGTTTCCATACTGGATATTAAACAGAAAAAAAAGAATTAGTAGGACATACACCAAGCCAGATCAAAGTGAAGCATACTGTAGATCACTATATTTTCGCGACACCTTATTTTCGCGAGGTAGTTATTGACTCTTGATTAACGAAACAAAATTTTCACGAATTGTGGTTACTGCTCTATATAATCTTAAGGGATGCTATTATGATTTAAATTTTCGCGAGCACACTGTCTTGCGTAATTACACGAAAATAAAGTTCTCGCGAATAAAAAGTGATTTACAGTATATTGCTGTATTTTTATAAGATAACTCATAGTTTTCAACAGATTGGAATAAAATTTGGATTTTTTGAAAGATATATAATCTTTGCACTTAATGATAAGACTTAGATGTGTTTATTTAGACTTTAATTTTACACAAAGGTGTAAATTTGTTCAGTTGGTTTAAATGTATTTTGATATAGATCTCTCTCCATTAATCAATTATATGTTTGAATTTTTTTGACAGGCAGAAATTGAAGAAGCTATAAATTTATAAATTAAACTTATAAGATATGATTTCTTCTTTAGGCTGATATATACATTCAATGGTCATTTGCATAATTAATAAAATACAGTGTTAGTACCGGTAAATAATAAAAAAAAAACCTTTTAAATTTACTAGTTCCTGCTGATCTTAAAATAATAATGTATTTACGTGTTATTTATGCCTTTAATTTAACAACGATGAAATCACAAACTTTTACAGAGATTTAACACAATTCAAAGAAGTTTTAACTACTTTAAAAAAAAAAAACTTTATTTAAATTCTGTACTCATTAAAATACCTGTTTAATTTCTTGTACATTTATGTGCCCGGTAATTCTATGGGTTTACCTGTTCAATTTTTCTTTTAGAAAACGCAAAGCCTATATAACATAATCTTAGGATTTTTCAAAAATTAAGGCTGAAAATTCTATATACCATTACCTATAACAAAAATTACAATTATATGAAGTTGTACTTGCTTTGCAAATCTTTTAAAATAAGGGGAGAAAATGTTTCCATAGTGGATATTAAACAGAATAAAAAAAAAGAATTAATAGGACATACACCAAGCCAAATCAAAGTGAAACGTATATGGCTGTATGTTTATAAGATAACTCATAGTTTTCAATGGATTTGAATAAAATTTGAATTTTTGAAAGATATATAATCTTTGCTCTTAATGATAAGACTTAGATGTGTTTATTTAGACTTAATTCCATTCTTCCCAATTTTGAAATTTATTTTGATATATATCTCTCTCTATTAATCAGTTATATGTTTGAATTTTTTTGACAGGCAGAAATTGAAGAAGCTATAGGATTTTCAAAAGTAATAAGATTGATTTCTCAGGCTGTAAGTTGACTCTTTCATAATAAATAAAATACAGTGTTAGTAAGAATAAAAAAACCTTTTAAAGTTTAGTTCATGCTGATCTTTGAACTAGTATCATTGAATGAGAACTGAAATCACAAATTTTTACAGAGATTATTTTTCTTTGTTTCTATACAGTAGAACATGCTTGTAACGTAGTGCCAGTGATGGGCAATTTTGCTTCGTTATATACATAACTCATTCTATCTATTAGCTTGCACTCCTGACTAACCATTACACTGCATTACAGATTTGCTTATGTACATAAACTTACATTGACAATGTACATTAAGAAATTGACTTTGTATATATTTGTTCTCTGTTTTAGGGGAAACTGATCATTGGCCACAACATGTTTCTGGATGTTATTCATTTGTTACACAGGTTCTGCTCCCCACTCCCTGAGGTACACATTATTATCAATTTGTTCAAGACAAAATGATTGAAAAATATTTTAATTCACGGAAATTTTATGTTACTAAATTTTTTTCTATAATCTGTGTGGTTCTCTTTTCACAGAATTATGAAGAATTTAAAGCATTGACAAAATGTGTCTTTCCAAAGTAAGTATTTTGCAACCTTTGTGTACAAATATTTTTTTACTATGGTGGAAAATATTCGGAAATTGATTCAATGTTTAAAATGTACCACTCTCTATGGTAAATCAATTTTTTTAAACTTTGCAGAATTTTGGATAC